CACAGGATTGCACATTGTTGGCAGATGGTTGTCTCACTCATCTTGTCAGAGTAATTTAAAAGTAAATCAATAATGATAAGTGATCCCCAGCTGCCAATTAGCAATGCATCGTATATGTCTTTTAAGCACTGTAATAAAGATGATTCAGGGAATGGATTTTGAGAGAGAGAGAGTGAGGAGTAGCTCAGATATCATTTAGAGATTGATATCCACTTGGAAAGGGATTCCTGAAATAATACAAATACACTGGAAACATGGAAAATTACAGGTAAGGGAAATGTACACTGCCTAAAAGGTTGAGAAGTCTTTGTGAAAGGAATTGTCACAGAAACTTCTCCCGTTCAAATGAAGAAAGTGCTCTCTCTTGTTTAATGACTCAAGGAGATCATATTTGTAAATGCAGAGCAGAAAGAAATGTATGAAGCTTTATGATCTCCTAGGCAAGGTCAGGCAGTTTTAGGGCCTGATCCTGTTTCTTCTCCCAAGCCCCCACTGTGGCCAGGGAAGTCAGACAGGGGAGTGAATCACGGATTGACAGCCTCTGGTCTTGGGGCTGAGGAGAAGCAAGAAACTCCAAGACACAGCAGTGTGGGGCAGGCTGCAGGCACTGACCCAGCAGCTCTCAGGCACAGCAAAGCAGAAGAGCTGTGACTTGGCACCATCACCCATAACTAATAGTTGTAAAGCACATTGGGGCTTGGCCAGGCCTTTAAGCCTGACCACGATGAACAGTTTAAATACAGCCAATTTTCTTCAGGGCTTTGGATTCCCTTCAGAACTCAGTTAGTTATTTCCTGACATTTGGTATTCAAGCCATTTATTTAATGTGAGAAATAATGGTTTACCTATTTTTCTAAGTTAAAAATCCCATAATTGATCCAGCCTCCTTTTAAGTAACAGTTCAATAAGATTTTTGATGTAGATTCAGCTTCAGCCCAGCCCCACCTCATCTTTCTCTTTGACCTGATCAGGATTTATCCCACTCCCACAGACCCTCCACATGCACTCCAGGAACCAAAGCATGGGCCTAGAGAAGAGGTCCTCTCCTTCCTCCTAGTTCTCACTGCTCCTTGTTGCAGGAGGGGAAAGGAAGAAAAAAACCAAAACCAACAAAAATTCCCACAACTAACCCACAACTAAGTTTAACTGTGCCAAAAACAGGACAAAAATAAACCCTGCATTTCTGGGCTTTGGCTATGGCTTCAGTTGCTCCAGAGTAACATGACCAAATGCAAGTTGAGAAGAAGTAGCAGTTTGGCATGAAGTCCATAAAATTTAACTGCAAATTATTTAAGGGGAGGCTGTCAGGTGTGGGTGCAGTGTGGGTCTTAATTGAGATTGAACAAATGTTGCAGAATCCTTCAGAAGCTGGTAAAAGAAGAAAAAAGAACAAGGCTTACACTCAAATGCAGCAAGACACCCTTGTTTCATCCATAAAATGAGTAAATCTGAATCAGAGATGAAATATATTATATGTTTATATTTACCACAATTGAATAAAGCCTTTATCATTACCATTTCCAAGGCTGCAATGAACACTGCTGAGGGCCTTTAAGAAAATCATATTATGCCAAGGAGAACAGCACAATGATCATATCCTCAAGTTAATAGAATACAACCACTGCCTACGCATAATACCATAAATTAACTTTTATATATATGTATCCAATAGGCTTATCCTTAGCAGCCTGACATTTCCAATCCTGATGATGTAAGCTAGTATGTCATTCTCTCCTTCAAGTGGTCAGCTAACAGAGTGTTTTTCCTGCATCATTCTAACATTATAGCATCTTAGATTTACAGGGAGGGGGGACAGAGGGTGGAAGAAAAAGGCAGTGACTCCACTCAAAACGAATCTCAGCTAACATTCTCCCAGCAGTACTAAACTGAATTAAGCTGGTTTGCCTAAAACAAGCAGACATGGGTGACATTTTAGGCCAGGGAATTAGATTTCAGAGTAGCCATGAAAGCATTTATTAAATTCATGAAATGTTAATCTCCTAATAGTAATATATAACCTAATTTCATTTGTATGAATTAGCCATGAATCACAATAGTAATAGAACCACTAAATCAGACAGAGGCTATGTTCTGTAGCACTGGGTAATTTATTTATTATTTTTCTTGCTCTGAAAATGTAGCTTAAACATGCAAATGAGACAACAGTCAAGTACTTGAAAATCTTGCCTGTGCACTTTTGGTGAAGGATAACAAGATTCAACTAAATCTCGTTTTAGATTCCATAGCCATACAATAGTAACCTGTGCTGGTAGTTCTAGCATCAAACTCCAAGGAAGCAATAGAAACCAGAGCTGGGAGTTAGAGGTAGATGAGGCTTGTGGGTGCCTTCCACTTCAGGAGATTCCATGGTTCTAGGATTCAATGACTAAACCTCAGACCCAAAGAGATTCCTTTTGAAACAGAAATTTCACCGATCTGAAGGTCATCTTTTGTAATTCCGGACTGTTATGAATTTACACTCAAGAAGTACCTCATTAAGCAAACTCATATTGCAACTTTAGTTTTGTGATGCCTTCATAGAAAAGGTAACAGGATGTTATAGAAAGTAAACACATAATGCACAAGTCTAATAAAAGTCAATATTGCTAAGTGAAACTTAAACAAGACATAGTATGGAAAGAGAACAAGATCTTGACTGTTCTGCTGAAATGAATGGTCACTGTGTAGCTAAAACCCCGTGGATCTCATTGTAAATATGCCTATTACATTGTTTTACAGCAGCCTGCAAGAACAAGACTTAGTCACCAAGGCTTCAAACTAACTCAACTACAGTTAGTCCTGAGCAGGAAGGAAGCAGAAAGTCTGATGTTTAACATAACGGGCTGATAAAGTCAGCAATAACAGGCATACCAAATTGTCCTTCCTGAGGATAGGAAGAAAAGCTCTGTCCCTAATTCACACATAGCCCAGGTGGAGAGGTTGGACCTGGCAGCATCCCTTGAGCTGAGGGGACCACACTGCTCACGTGGCAGAGGAAGAAAGAACAATGGTGGCTCCAATAGGCTCATTGCCAAAAGGTGTTTTGTGAGCATGGCCAGAATGAAGAGTGTGAGGAAGTGAAAGTGTCATTTTCCAAGCCAGATACAAGCCCTCCTTGCAAGATATTTACTAAATTATGTATAAAGTTATACATATTGCTTTTCTGTGTCAAGAAAGACAGCTCAGTCACCTAAGTAAAGATCAGTAATTGCTGTCTTCTGGCAGGATGGATAACACATCATGATTCCAAGTCCACTGTTGTCTCTACATACTATCAACACCCTCCTATTTCTAACCTTATAAAAATAGAAAATTGGTTTGCAGCATACACAGTGACACTGCCCTTCAAACAATAGATGAAAAGGGATAAGTTTATGTACAAGTCATTGGTACATATAACTACAATTCATAAAGACCTTAAACCAATCCAAGCTCAACTAGCAAACATCTGTACAACGTCCAGTGATGTAAAAAGGGCATGATGACAGGAATAACCTTTTCCTGTCAGGAACTGCACAGAGTCCTAGTCCATCTAATACTTAATTGTTGCCTTCATACCCCTTCCCACGTGCTCCTAAAGGAAATACTATAAATTTAATATTAGTGGCCTTGGTCACTTCTTGAATTTTAAGATATTGATATTTCTTTACTTTTTCTGTTGTTCTGTCTTCCAAATATGTCGATTTAGTCTCATATCTAACTATATCTACTACAAAGGCCTGATTTACCTTAACAAATGCCATATCTGGTTTACACAGTTCACTTTATTCATTTTCAAACATTGCTTCCTGGAATACTACCGTTCTTTTCCTAAGCTTCATTCACCTAGATGTCACATAGTTGGTTATGTCTCTTAATCTTAGCATCTTGTACCATGGGGCAGTATGCAAGAATATGTGCACAGCTGTCATTCTCCAGCTGGCAGTATCTGCATTATTTGAGTCTGTTGCCTATCCTTAATCTGAAACTCTCTAGCTGGGTAGGCACTAGCTCTCAGCTGTTCCTCTTTAATGAGTTTTCTATAGGGAATTCCTCTAATGTTCAATCCAGCTGTTACTAATATTCTTCTCAAAGCTAAAAATTTCCCAGCCTTGGGTAACAAGCTAGGTCCAAATTATTAATTCTTAGTTTTTCCAGTTACAGGATTTCAGAAAAATTACCTTTGCAATGGTTATCTCCCATTCCAAGTCCGGTTCCTCACCACATAATTCCTCTGATATAACCAGGACTTCTTCTGGGTTTCAAACAGATGGAAAATTTGAAAATATTTGAAAGATAAAATCCTTATGACCTCCTGCTGCAATTCACAGTCTTTCAAACCCTTTCTCAATGCCATCCTGCTCAACAACTGCTTTTGATGTCTCATCCAAAGACAGCACAATTCTGTGCACTCTTAAATCTGGCCACACTAGGGATCAGTCCTGAGATCAGTCTGGTAACACCTAAACAGCCACATCACATGCTGTGCTATGACTTGGCAGGTACTTTCCAATAGATGTAACCCTTCCTTGACAGCAGGTCAAATTGCAAGTCTAGGGTTTCCTGGAACAAGGGTTATGCTTTACCTGGCAGGCCAAACTGATGTAATCACAGAATAGTATATCCTTTCAGGATGTCAGCTGTATAAAATCTCTCAAATAGAACCTTTCCAATATGCTGCAACCACCCCTTTACCTTTTCCAGTAATTCTGGGTTTGATATTCCAGTCTATGGGTCAATACATAGTCCAGGTACTTTTCAGGGCTAGCAGGTTCAATCATATTGAAGGGGTGCTGTTAACTGCCCATGTAGGACAGTAACTGATTACATGATTCCTTAGTGGTCTTGATGTAAATTCTGCCTCCTTTTATGTCTTGAGGCCAGTTAGCTCAAGAAGACCTCCCCAGTTTCATTATTTTTTCTGCATAGGATTCCTACACAGGATCCATTCAACAGAAGCAAGTTGTGTGCAAAGATCACAGTTGTTTATTTTTCAAGCAATATTGAAACCCACACCCTTCTTCATCCAAGTTATACACTTACAGCATCCATAGATGAGTTAAACAAAATTGGAGGCATCTGATCATCCTGTTTTGTACCACTCCAAATCCCAACAGCATCCAGCCGTTCATTCTTCAGGTCAGTGTAATACTGATGTTCTCATATATCTTCATATAATGTTATGATTGTCACACCCTTCTGTTCAAGAACTGTAATAATGTGAGAATGCCTTTCAGTGTCAAGGGGTTTTGCTAAATCAACCAACACCACTCCCAGTGACCAATATTCATTCATGTTTCAAACTAACAGTTGTAATTCTTTCAAGTTTTCCAAATGTCCTGATGATCTCATAAATCCCCTTGGCCTTGGATTACTGGAGAGCCCAAGAACCTAGCCAGAAGATTCAGTGATCAGCTTTGCATTTATAAAGCAAGATTTTTTACTTTAATACACTGATGCTCAAACTTCCTTCAGGAGTTTAGACATTTGGCAAATTTTCAAATCAGATATTACATCTACCCTACATCAATTTTTTTCTGGTCATATCCAGTAGAGCATTCAGAAATATTCTTAGCTTTAAGCACAGGTGTAAAGTGCAATTGCTAAATCAGGAGTCCTGACTTTACATGAATTTCCACATGAGCCTTCTGTAAATGTTAGTAAGCACAGGCTATTTTTGAAAGGCATATTAAGGAAGTTACATTTAAGGACAAATAAGAAAGCTTTTTTTAAAATTATTTTTACCTAATATACCCTTTTTTGGAATAGAAATGCAAAATGTATGTATTTTAACAGCTTTCAAGAACAGTCTTCATTCTTGGAGCTATTGACAAAAATGTTGTTTGCTGCATCCATCTAATGTGTCTTTTAGATAATACAGTTCTTGAGGCAGTGCTTCAAAAAGAATTGCTTTCTCTGTTGAGTATCAGATTCAATTAGCTCCTTCAGAAAAGCAATCGATATCCCACCTGATTTAAGAAAGTTGCTATGCAATGCTTTTATATAATGGCAGCAATCCTTTTAGCTTTGGGAATCCAGCACTGTCTCCATCGGTGCCATGCTCCAGTTCCTGAATTATATGTCCCTGAGTAAAGACAAGGAGGGAGGAAGGGAGGGAGGGAAAGAAGAAGGAGGAGGAAGGAGTCTAAGCTATACCAGACAGAGCTGCTTCTCAATAGCCCTCTAAAAACCCACTGGGCATTTCTGATGGATACAGGGGTTCTTGCTTCACTCACTTCTAAGGGTACATCTGTAGGCAGCAGGCATGCACTCTGCCAATAATCATGGACCGTAGTCAGGAACCTCTTGGCACCTAATCTGAGCACCAAACAAATCAGGCTGAATAACCCCCTGATTATGAGCATAAAAAAGCAGAAGGATCAAAAATTATTAGATATTGAAGATTCTGGCCCCAGTCCTGAAGCAGGATATTAATCATTACTCATTAACATGGTGTCCCCATACTGAACAGCACATGTTTGGCTAGTTAATTTTGGAACTGCTGTGATGTTTTGAGAGCTAAAAAGAACATACATAAAACCTGCAATAAAATAATGGTACTGTTGCTGGTTATGTGTACAAGCCAAGAGTGAGAGAGCATTCATAGACACAATTGAGGGGCTTGTTATTCAAAGATATGCTACTGTAATAAAACTTCTCTAACTTCAGTTGACAGAATGCCACAGTTCTGCAACATTGCATAAATGCTAATCATCTAAATGGACAAACAGTAATGCTAAAGCAATCTGTATACTAAAACACAAAATATTGTCCAAATTAATCTGTATGAAGAAAAGGTGGCTGCATTTGAGTAAGCTAATGCTGATTTGTTGGGGTTTTTTAATAGAAGTTATATAGCAAATACAGTCTTGAAATTATTAAAATGCAAAACAATGTAAGCATTGTGTACTCCATGGCTTTGAAGGAATTTTGATAAACAGAAGATATTTATGGCAGTCATTTGCATAAAAGCAGAAATATGGCCAACAGTTCTAAATAGCATTACAAGTAAAACCAAAAAGCAAAAATAAGAGATTGATTCAGTGCAGTTTTTCCCAAACCTTTTCAGGATTTTTCTTCATTCAGAAATTCATTTGAGAATCCATACAAGATTAAACCACAATATTTAGTGGTCTTTGGGTTAAAACCCCCCTTGTGATATTCAGTAATACATCAGGGATAATGATAAAACCAACTGATATGTGAGGAAAAAATCTCATTATCACTGGGCTGTGTATTACAATACTTGTACACAGACTGTACAACAGACTGGTCAGTTGAGAACAGTTCCTGGCTGAAAAGCTCAACCCATCTGCTACAGTGCCAGAGCTTGGCAGGGGAGAGTGTCAGATAGAAATCAAGAGGCAGTAATTTCTTAAGCCATACAAGCTCAGTCACAAGAGTTCACTGGGTTGTGGTCTGAAGTCTAAAACATTTAAACATCTGAAATACTGTGTTGACTGATGACCACTGTTCCAAAGGAATTATTAAAAAGGACTCTTAACAGTGGCCAAAGTAACTTGCAAAGGAGTGAGGTAGAGAGAGAGAAGCATATCTTACAAAAGAGAACTGTGAGAAAAATCAGAGGAACAGCTGACTTTGACTATAGTGATGTCAGACCAGAGCATGCCTATAGGAAGCTTCAAGAAAAAAAGGATACCACGGCATGAGAAAGCTTTGGGAGTAAGGAAAGTAAGGAAACACCCAAGTATTGCTGCCTAGTAACAAGTGCTCATTTTTATGCAAAATTCTTAAAAAGAAAGATAATCCATATCCATATACATAATTTTGTACTTGCATTTTCTAGAGAGAGCTCACCAGAACAGAGCAAATAAGTTGTTCTTCAGTATTCTAATCACCAGTACATACATTTCAACATTTACCTCCCTTCAGGACATACATCTCCTCCCACTCTGAGAATGGCCAGCTATGGCCCATGAGTATCAACACACACCACATGGCATCTGTTCTCATTTCAGACTGTAGTTAAACTCTATATATTTGTTAAAAAGGCAAATATCTCAGTGATAAGCAAAGGAGAATAATAATGCCTGTCCTGAGTATTGGAGATACTGAAGTGTGAAAGGCAAATGGTAACACATGAATAGAATATGAAGTAAAAGTTGGCAGACTACATCACTCATTTTAGTGTCCTAAGGCATATCTTGGAGGGATGTGTAGTATGGCAACCTTGAGTCAAAGTTAAAGCTTTGTCTGTTGGGGCTTGAAATAATGATCATTTGTTTTCATTTCTTTTTACAGAACAACTTAACTATCTTAAAACCAGGAACAAATCTAAGAAAAAAACCCACCAATTATTCATGTCTAAATATATTTGACAACTTATCAAGATACTCCAGTCTTCTTTCCTTATTGTCAGCTGTAAACATCAAACCTGGCATCGATCTGCTATAGGAAACTATAGGTTGTCTTCTATTAAAATTACATACCACCCTTCCTTCTGTTCTCTCAAAGTTGTTTCTAAAATAACTCTAAAAAATCCTGATGCTTCCAAAATTCCTTAGAGATATATATTTCTCACAAAGCTCCTTTATCCTTCAATAATGTCTCTGGAATAACCATTTATCTTCTAACACCATAATCCACCACCCTTTCTCCAATAACTAGTTCATCTGCAGCTGGGGATCACCAGTGTGTATAATTCCATGTTAACTTATTTCTAGCAGCAGAGTCAGCTTTTCTCAAGTAAGATTTCTTTCAGAAAAAGCTTTGGTCTCTTTTCCGATCAGGAGATCCTTACCAGTGTGGAGGACGTTTAAATTCCTGATGTGTTTTAAATGATCATAGCAATCTTTGCATGGAATTGCTAATTGTAGCCATTGTGTCAGGATGTTAAATGTTCTCATCCCAAAAACTTCCATGCTGTGAAACCTTCCAGGACACTATATGTATAATGCTGTAAATGAATCAATATGGAGAAAAGATAAAATATCAACAATATATTTAGAAATAATTTGACTGGTCTTAGCATAAGCTCCCACTGAATTTGATTCTCACAGAACTCTCAATAACTGCATCACAAATATATATTTCTGTATTGCATAGCTGAGGGTTTCAAACTATCAGAAATATTTTTACTTCATCAGAGTAATCTGTCCTGCCAAATTCTTAGAAACTCAGTACAACAGTAGGATTTCATTTGATTTATTTTTGTATTCAATAATACTCTAAGCACAGGAAGTCTGCAGTCCTGATGTTCAAGCTCTAGACTTTGTTCATGTTGTAAGCACTATCTTAGATAAAAAGGCCATTGGTAGGATTCTGTTTGTCCAAAATCTGGCAGTTGGATAACATTTTGGTAATCCCAACTCTAAATTGTTACATACAAAACATGGAAGCAAATTAAAATGTTTTGTTTCACTCATCCCAAAGGTTTAAATAGTTTCATGTCAAAGAGGAGCACAATCTAAAAAGGTAAGGGGAAATGCACCACTTTCTCACATCGCTTTCTCCACAGTTACACACACATGTCCTTGAAGAGTTTGAAATAAGCCAAAATCCAATCATCCTCAAGACCTGAACTAGATATTCCTTTTCTGTCATCTGCATCACCAAATTTACTATATATCCATTTTGGGTCCTTTAATAAAATATTTAAACTGGTAGTAAAGAAGGAGAAGTGTTTTTCCAAACACAGCAGCAGAAATTTTTCCTATGTTTTTAAAGCAGAAGATAGTGCTCTGCAAATAGCTGAACCTTAAGCAGGATATTGCCTAATTCTCCATCCTCAGTATATTAACTATGTCAAAGCAACCAATACCAGCCACTTGAGACAACAAATATCTGGAACAGCACCTCCTTACATTCATTCTCTGCATTTTATTTAACAGCCACAGTCCAATATATTGCCTATGGTTTTGATTAAAAAAAACCCAACTCCTAAGCTGTACTTAAGTTTTGGCAGAAGATAATTTCAAATGCTATTTATTCAAATGGAGACAAAATTATATTAAACTAAAGCAGTTGAATTGTTACGTATCTAATGCATAATTATAAGTTCACATAAAACTGGTATGGAGTAGATAATGAAAAAGTAAAACTGTTGCAGATGGAAAAGTTTATGTTTTTTTGTATAAAAGAGAAAAATGCTTACTTTTTCATTTCTTTTTCTGTGATATTATCCAAGTCTTGCAGGCGTGCAAGCAACTAACAACATAAATCAGCTGTGGCAACAAATCAGCTGTGATTATGCCAGCTAGAAGTATGACTATATGGAGTGAATTTGGATAGTGAACACAATCAGGTTTTTCTCCAAAAGGTGTATGCACTTGGATATAAACTCTCCCCAGACCTATGAGAGAGTGTAAAATAAGGTCTTGGCCCCTAATCTTTAAATATACAGCACTTTTCAGAAGACTACTGGTTTTGCCTTTCACTTTCCATTGTAACTATGTTCTCTCTGACTAAATTTACCACCCCATTTTGCAAAACGTAAACCTCACTCCATCTTCCAAAGGCAGGGACATGTTGCACTGCATCCCAATGGAAGGAGAAACACTGTGTTGATTTGGTCTCACTCAGCACCTCTTCCATCTCCAAAGGAAGAGTTATGTGCAGTATGGCAGGAAAAAAAGAATGCAGAAGTAGGCAAGCAACTTCACCAATCCAAATCATAACTTTAAGTTCATCTAAAAGGTAGGTGCAAAACTTATTTCCTTTGATGCCTCAGTGATGGAACCCACAGCCAGGTTGAGGCAGCCTCACACTACAAAGTTTTGCAGCTTTTGCAAGGGATTCCTTTCATTATAAAAAAGACAACAGCGGAAAAGATCTATCCATTTCAAAACTGCTAGGACACCATCAATCCAGGCTTTCTAGGGGTGATGTAAAGACAAATGTTTTCACATGTGCTGGCACATACAACAACACTTCTAAAGAATTATGATGCTCACTGCAGATTAATTTCCAGTGGACATTTCTAAAGAAAATTTCTGACTTAGGAGATTTTAAAATGAGTTCCTATGTATCATCAATAAGACTTCATCTGTTTCCTGACAGATAAAGGTTATAGAGGTTAATAAATAAATCTTTCTGATTTTAGAAAGAATCTTTGCCATCTCATCAAATAATATTAAAGATAGCAATGATACTTGAATTGAAATGCAGGCATCTTTTTATCATGCAGTTCTTCGGATTTCTTTGCAATTCATTGCATCTTGAATAATGATAGTTCATAATATTAAAGAACACTTAGCCTCAAGAAAAAAATCTTAAGCATCAGAAAGCGTGGATACATCACACAAGGTATTTAGATCAAGACCAGTGAAACCTGTAAGCCATAGTTATAGATCTTTGAG